GTTGGCCCAGGATCGAGCATTGTTTCGTTCTGCTGTGCATGGGGTCGCTATGAGTCGGTTCCGACTCGATGGCACCTGACAACAACAACAACCACCCGGGCAAACAGAAATCTCTTTCAATGACTGGCTATGTGCTACAGACAAAAATTTTTATTCTTCCCTGTTCCTGAAAAATGACGATAAGTCTTTCCCAGTAAGAAATGATGTAGATAGGTTACAAAGCAAAACACAGGTGAAGGCAAGCCCCATCCACCACCCAACACTGTACATACACACAGATACATACACACAGAGTTCTGCCATAGAGATAAGACGTGGTAAATGTTCAGAGAAACATGAAAACGCATAATATCACCTCCAAGATGCTTACTTTTAAGGCACTTTTAAGTCAATTTGGCCAACTGACTAGGAAAGATTGACAATTTACTTATTTGAAAAAGTGGCTAATGCAAACCTTATGAATAGCAGAGGAACACTGGCTGATATAGTGTCAGAAGATGAACTCCTCGGGTTGGAAGGCCTTCCACATACAACTAGAGAAGAGCTGCCATCTCAATGTAGAGTCAGCTCTAGTGATATGGATGTAGTAAGGTTTTCAGGACCTTCCTTTACTGATGTGGCATCACTCAAAATGAGAAGCAACAGTGACAAAATTCCATTAAGAATCAGAATATGGAATGTGCGAGGTATGATTCAAGAGAAATGATATGAAATGCATACTAATTGATATCCTAAGCATTAGTAAGCTAAAATGGACTGGTATTGACCACTATGAATTGGACAATCATATGGTCTACTATGCTGGGAATGACAGATCACAGAGAAATGGCATCACATTTATTATCAAAAAGAATGTCAAGACCTACCCTGAAGTATAATGCTGTCTATGATAGGATAATGACCACACGACACCATGGGCTAATGTGCTGGACTGCAAAGTCAGTTTGAACCACAAGGTGGGCAGTTCAACCTTACCAGATGCTCCTTGGGAACCCTATACAGGGTTGCTTATGAGTTGGAACTGGACTGGGCAGCACTTAACAGCAATAACATAAGGAAGACCAGTCAATATGATTATTATTCAAATTTAACACATCAATCACTAATGCCAAAGAGAAATAAATAGAAGATTTTACCAACTTCTGCAGTTTGAAAGTTACCAAATATGCAAGTAAGATGAATTGACAATTACTGATAATTGAAATGGGAAAGTTGGAAAAGATGGCCTTGGTGATAGAAAGAACACTGGCAATCTCATGACAGAATTTGGTAAGACCAACAACTT